TCCGCCCATAGCCAGGGTCTAATTGGTTATTTGAAATACTAACAAGGTTCTCTTTGTTGTTGTAATTAAATTAGAATCCATTGTCATGTTAACTAGGTAATTAATGAGTGATTGATGATCCCTACGAACTTTCTTTCTCTTATCAGCAGCCACACTACATCTAACAAACAAGGACCGGAAGGATACAAAATCAGAGATATATTTCAGCACAAACGACTGCAGCTTCACTTAGTTATGAAATCGATGAGAAGTTGAAATCATAACCTGCACTGCAATCTCCTTGTTTAGCTTTTGTTTTAAAGTCATCTCTGATGATGGTGAGACGGACCAGCAGAGCCTCTGCCACACAAACAAGGAATAGCGCCAAAAACAGATGCTTTAGCTCCTAATAAGCTGAGGAGCTGCCCTGTGTGTTCACTAAAACATCTCATTTCAGGCACAGTTTCAAACCATCACATGGTGCTATCTATACACAGTGGCAGCGTTTTAAAAGACAACATTTCATTGCACATATTCAGGAGAACAGGAAAAGGTCTGCCCATAGTTAAACTAATGTGAATTCCAAAATAAGCTGCAGCTGGATTTATATCTTTATAAAGGATCCGTTTTAAAAGTAGAGGTTTCTACTATTTAAATATACTCTGCATTTCACAGTCAAGATCCATCCCCAAAAAAAAAAAAGAGGAAGTGTACATTCATAAAGCCCCAATAATGTTTTGTAATGGAACATTACACTATAATGAACGACCAAAAATGGTTCTTTATGGAGCCACTAAAGGGCTGTGAACCATAGAAACACAGCCACTGCCGTGTGCTATATTACTAATAGACCTGCAGACTGCAGTCACTGTCACAACCATTAAGGATTTTAAATTGTTCTTCCAGAATGTAAAGAGTCTGTAATGCGCAATTTTGTTCAACTCTGAAGAGTCATCTCCTCAAGTGTGTAGGGCGACTATTATCCCACAGATCACCTGCCCCTGGAGAGGTGACAGTCCTTTCACCTTGCACCTGCTGCTGTTTGGCGCCTCACACCTCACACATCCCATCTCTGCATCTGGACAACAGCAGATGTTCTTGAATAATTTCTCATACTGGTGAAAGTTCCTTCCCTTTGCAGCTGAACCTCGACTTGCTCTAAATTCTGTCCAATCTAGACTCAATCTAGACAAGTGCATGCAATTTCTGCTCAGATATTTCTTCCTCTAAAACCTTCACTGCAGTGAGCAGCAGTGAAAACCTAAAGGGAAAGACACTGGGGAGCCTTTTTTTTCACTCATTTCATTTGCCCCCCACTGAAAAATAAGACTTTAACTTGATTCTGAAAGGTAGCATGTCTCAAATGCATCACAATGTCCAAAAAGCAGGTGGCTGTCTAGTAGGGCAACAATTCTTTCTCTGAAACGCTGAATAATACCTGCATATCTTGCTGTGATCCAGCAAATTCAATAGCCTATAGAAAGGGATTGCTCTCAACGTAAACCATTTTGCTAGAGGCCGCTCTCTTTCCTCAGGTCCACTCTCCCATAAATAATTTGCCTTCAACCTTCACATGCATAAAAATTGCAACTTGTTGGTTATGAGAGAGAACAGTGAGGATGCACTTTGAATGCCAATGCGACGATGAATAAACAATGGCTCGCTGCTCCAGGAGCAATGCAGAGCTGCCAGAAGACATTGCTGTGAGACCACAGTCTCTCTTAATGGTTTGTGCCACAGACCAAGTCTTTCAGTCAGCTGTGAATAGGAAGCTGTTTTGATCTGGGGGAACACTTTAATAATTTCTAACAAAGCAGCAATTCCCAAGGCACTTCGGACAACCTCGGCTGATTCCTTCTGGTTATCCTCCGGCCACCGAAGTCACTTTAAACCATGATTGAATGGGCTTTCTATGGCCACAAGCTTATGGTATATGAGGAGCGGCCTCATACTCTCAGAGCATGTCATCTGCAGCGGAGGTCACTATGCAGTCAACACCCGGTGGACTCTATCATACCGAATAAATATGTTCTACACCAAATCCTGGTACTTATAATTCAAAACCTATGCAAACAAACAAAACTAGCCAGGCTCCTCTGCTGTGTGTCTGAACAGATATGAGCCATCTGAGAAACTAATCTGTTATTTCTCCAGAATGCAATGGGAGCCTGGTCGTTTGTGCAATGCTACAGTGCCACCTGGTGGTGAGCAAGCACCACTGTGGAACTGTGGAAGTGTTTTGGAGATCTAAACTGGTAACAAAGGTAACATTATTTGAATAGTTTTTTTTTATGTTCCCTATTTTTATCATCTAGTTTCAGTTATTCATCCAGAAGGTTAGAGAAGAGTCTGGTAATCCTGTCAGGGCAGTGGTGACTGTTTTTATATTACCTTACTTGTGTTTTTCAAATATTGGTTAATTGTCATTTTAGAGAAACCAGTAGTGTTATCTCTAGGGCCTGCATGTATGAAAATATGCAAAAGGCATTGATGTTAACAACACAGATAGCAGCAGCTTAAAATTAATGGCAAATAGCACAGCAATGTCTGTTTAAAGGTTATGGAGAAAGCATATGTGAAAAAAGTTGTGGCTCCAGGGGGAGCTGTACAAGATCTGACAAATTGCTTCAAATAATTAAACTTGAGTCAATGTTATTTGGGGCTCCAAAAGTGTCCTTGAGACTATTGCCGCCAGACACAAATAAACACACATAAATCTCTGACCAGTTGTAGTGGTTGACGTAAACCGTGAGTAACATTTACATTTTTGCATTTTTCATTTATTGTGCCATTTTAGTCTTTTTGTTGAACTACTGCCACAGGCAGTTAGAGATGGCTTCTGATCTGAGATGAATTTAAAAATTAATTTTTGATCATACCTAAATTGTCATGCTTTCTCAAACAATGTGTTTTCAACTGTTCCTACAAACTAAACTGACAAAACAAACTGACTAAGAGCTACAAAATGTTTAACAAATGGGCCATTTTAAATGGAAAGGCAACATTATTAAAAACTTGGAAGTGCAAATACCTAAAGATTTGTCTGTTACCTGTAGGATGAGTACACTTATATCCCCATAAATTCCCAGCTGATATTAATCAGACTTAAATAGGTGGTTGTTGATGCCAGTGAATATATGTGTATGATCAAATATACTGTGCCATAGACACAAACATATTCCCTCGATTGTTTTTCTTTTTCAATTATAGCCTGTTAAAATATCACATGAGCAATTTAATAAATACAAAATAATGGTTTCAACATTTATATGAGGTAAGCAAAAACCAAAGATTAGATTTCACACAACTGCCTAAGGACAAATATGGAGTGGCTTCGCTCTACATGGAAGCCTACTATACAGTAGATAGGTACAGCCGTGCTCTCTCTAATGCTTTCTGTTAGTCATTCTTCTCCAATCTATAACGGAGATGAACGCTTCTCCTATAAAATAATTCAATGCTGAATCATTAGGCCAAACTACCAAACCTCTCTGATGAATGTATTCACTGACATGTATAATGGTAATATTAACAGAACACTGATACATCATGTGAGGTCTGCTCAGCTTTATATCAAATAGGGGACTTTCTGCAATGTATGTTAAATCAAGGTGAGAGATAGAAAATTTCTCATTACTGGTTAGATGTGGCAACAAAGATAAAGCATATAATCAGCCCAGATGATTTTAGTGCTATTTATTTGGGGCATATGGTAACTGGGCTGAAAATGCACATTTTTCAAAAACTACCAGCAGCAAATAAAGGCAAAAGACCAGGAAATGGCTGAACTACAATCCCTGCATGGATAGAAATAATTCAGGAAATTTATGTTATGGAGTGACTGACCTTTTCTCTTAAAGGTCAGACATTTAATATTCATAGTTTTCGCACATGCACACGTCACTACACGTCATTTAGCAGCGCCATAAACACTTAAGCTAGCTTGGAAGGTGGAAGTGCCTACGTTCAGTGGCTAGGAAATACTCTGATTTTATAGGGATGAAAGGTGATATGAACACTGTTGTAAAATGTTAATATTGTGCAGGTAACACAGCCTCAAACCTCCTGAAACACTTATTAAGACAGCACAGCAACGTGAAGCTCGTGGAGATACACCCCAACAAAGATGAGCCCTCTGCGGCCACGGGGGATAACTGTAGTCTTTCAATGACTAAAAAACAATCGTTGACAACAGGCTACAACAAGCAACAAAGAACTAACGACAGTTGTTGTAATGTTGTCCATTTAGACCCCAGGTAAAAAAAAAATCATCTGCAAGATATTACCAATCTGTAGGGTGTAACTAATATGACGAGTAGTGTATCAAGTTACTTTTGACAGGAAGTAGTAAGTAAAGTATTAATCTAGTTTTTTGAAAAGAGTAAGTAATAAGTAATATACTACATTTTTTGAGCCCATACTGTTCATCATAAGGTCCTCTATGATTTGAAAGGACCATCATGGACATTAAAGGCAGATTTTTTTAAAGGGATGATAAGGCTAAAAATGATTACGACTGCAAATCTTTGAGGCACTAAAAGTGAGGATCCTTTCAAAAAAGAATTATGTAGGTACTTTTTATTTATCGACTGATAAACAATTGCCGTAAACAGAAAAAACAAAATCAAAAACAATACTTGCTGTGACCGCCCTTTGACTTTAAAACAGCACCGATTCTCCTGGTTACATTTTTGCACAGTTTTTCACAGCATTTGGCAGGTAGGTTGTTCCACGTGTCTTGGAGAAATTGCCAGAACTCTTGTGTGGATTTGAGCTGTCTCAACTGATCCTGTCTCTTGAAATCTCTGATGGACTCCATAATGTTGAGATGAGCGCTCTCAGGGGCCCAGGCTACCATGCTTGGGAATGTTGTCATGATGCCTAATGAACCTGGCACCGCTAAGACACCTCCCTGATGGAGAATGCTCTAAACATCAACAATGCCTAAAACATTTCCACAGTCCTGTATAGCTCAAATCATCTCCTCTAAAATACCCATGACACCAGAGCTCAACAAAATATCATCGTTCATGATATCTTTATTACTTTTAAGACTCTCGCTAAAATAATGCATTTAACATCTTAACAGAATATCCTCATCTACATGTTTGGGTTTGAAATAAAACATCAAAATTCATGTAAAACACCACATTGTTAAAAGCTCCCTAAAAGAGGAAAGAAATATTCATTTTGTGACAAAACCACACCACCATACAAAATACACTTGCAGCTGATTTGACTAGCATATTTTGCCATGGTAGCTTTGAACTCATTAGAAATCATAGCATGCATTGTTATTTTAAGATGGCATTATACGATGTGCGATGAAACAATGTGCCAAAGTGCTAATCCAGTATTTAATGCTGATTCAGAGCAAGCCATTTCTTACAGAAAAAATATAAACTGTATATCAAGAGGCTTCATGTAGACCACGTTAAGACAATGTGTTTCATAAACAGGTATCCTCCAAAGTGCTTGCTGAAGTCTGAGAATAGAAAACAAAATGTACAGTACATTGGCCACATGTTAGCTGTTTGTCATACAAATATAATACATTTAAAATGAATGTTATTTTATATATATATTTCTATATGTACTTTAAAATTATATTAATAAAGCCAGTTATTTTTGCTTCTCATCTCCTAATATATACAAGCCACCATTTTCTCAAACATGCCTGTCTTGCTGTTCCTGTCAACTCTCTACAATACAATATCTATGTACAATTTATTTGTTCCCTATGAGCTTCTTCAAAAAGAACAGCTAAATATGAAACTACCAGCGACGGTGATGAGTCCTCAGCGGCAGCCTCACTTCACACTTTGTTAGCAGCTCATGAAGACTGAACACGTGCTTTCAGTGCAACAGTCTGTTGGTCTGACAGAGGATAAAGTGCAGTTGTCCAGATATGGAATCTGATAAAGACCAGTAGTCAGAATCACTCGTAGACCCCAGCCTGTGATCTCAGTGCAGCATGATAAAACGCCTCATGACCCAGAGCCTTGGACAGCAGTCTGTGCCCGCGGGGAGACATGCAGCCCTGGCCAGGCAAATATTCAGTCACGGCTTTACTAGATCTTGTGGGCTTAGGTTTGGGCACTGCGTAATACCCTTCCATGTGGTCACTTTGTGTGGGCCTGACTTTAGTGCTCTGAGTCCTTCTGTTGAACTGAGAGGAAAAGGACCCCAGATGTTCAGGATCCAGAGGGGATTTGGCATGGTAATGATAGTAGTGACGGTTTTCTCTGGTGCTCTGTGACCGCCTGGGTCTCCTGAGGATGCTGGGTTTCACAATACCAGAATAGCTGTTGACAGCAGTGGTCACCATTAATTGATCCTGGTCATGACCTTGTGTATGGCTTCTGTCTCTGTGCTCGATGTTTTTCAGATTAAGACAGCCCCCTTCTGGGAGTGAGGGGACTTTGCGAAACGGAGGCTGCTGGGGTGACCTCTCTTTGATCTGAATGCGCCTGGATGGTCCTGGCTCCACACTAGAGTGGCGACCACGCTGCTGCCTGGTGCCCACAGGGTCTAGCTGTTGAGACCTCGGGGATGTCAGGGATGTAGCAAAAACAACATTTTGGTTTTCTGCCCTGTCACTGGAGAGGAGGCAGGCGTTTCCAGGGTCTGACTTGCTCCTTGTGTGCATTATGTCTCTGCTTCTTGTGTCAGTCGGAGAGAAAGGACTCTCATAAGGAGACACAACTGGACACCTGTACTTATTCTCCTGCTTGATTGGCTGATATATGACTCTTTCAAAAACTTCTGCGTCTCTAGCTTCGTAAACCACGGTGCCCCTGCTTGCTATATAAAGCTCCCTGTTCACAGGGGGGACATGACGAGGGGAGAAGTTGTAGTAATCTGACTGCCCACTTTCCCTCGTGGAGCGCCCGGTGTAACACTGATTGTGTCGGACGCCACTTTGTCGGTAAGGCTCTACATAATAGTGGGAGCCATCTACTGGGTTCATATCTGACAAGGGGTGACGGTAGCCAGCATGTGTGTTGTCAAATTGTGGCCGAACAGGGTGGATGCCGGTCTGAATCATCCTCTGGTAGGGCGCTTTCTGCCTGATGTAAAACATGGTGTCAGGGGGTAGGACTTCTGTCTCTGACAGGTCGTGGTGACTTATCTGAGGGGTGTGGAAGGAGCGAGCCCTCCGCATGGCCGGCTGCCCAATTATTCTCTCTTCTGGCCTCTGCCACTGGCCTTGTTGTCTGTGGCAACCACTCATAAGCTGCTCATCTCTATGGTAACGTCTGTACTGAGGTGACAAAGGGTGCCTTAAACCTAAAGTGCTGTAGCGGCTCTCAGGGGACTGCCTATACAAGCTGTTTGGTCCGGAAAGGTGATGCTGCAGAGCATCAGGCCGAGGGCAGTGATGTGCAGGCATTTGTACTGTTTGAATCGGCTGACGATGATGATGACAATGATGACTGTAGACATCCTCAACCATGCCTAGAGGTCTGTTCTCATCTGCAATGTACTGATGAGTTGAGGAGGGCTGTAATGGACGTGGAAGGACCTCTTCAATAGAGGCAGGCATGGAGGTCTCAGCCAGAACAGCACGGAAATTAAAGACATTGACGGAGTTAGTGTTCACATATACAGGAGAAGTTGATGGACTCTGAGCCGAGCAGACAGGCTGAGTGGGTGTCGAAACACCAACGCTCTGATAGGTGGGCTCGCCCTGTGTGACATCCATAAGCTCTTTTTCCTCTCTGCAATCCCTCCTCTCTGCACTGCCTTCATCCAAGCTCCCTGACCCGAGCGGGCTGACGTTAGGTGTGAAATTGCATATGCTTTCCTGTCCATCAGTGTCCTGCAACAGCTCAGAGCAGGGATGTGGGGTTAGGAAATGAACAGGGCGAGGGCGGCAGAGACTCTCCACAGGACTGCGCAATGATGTTTGCCACTGGGAAACAGAGGAGGCATGAGGGCCGCTGTACTCCTGGGGATAAACTCTGAGATCAAAAACAGAGGGCTGGGGCAGTCTGTCCTGGTGGTGAGGCGCTTTCAGTCTCTGGAGAGGGTACGATAGGGCATTGTTTCTTCTCTGGGAGCCGCTGCTGGCCCTCTGGGCAGATTCGGCCAGGGCCAAAGCCAACTTGCGTGCAGCACTCATCGAGGGAGGGTGAGGAGGGAGAACAGACACTGAACTCATAAGTCTATCTGTTCCTGGGGAGGGATAAGACAAACAACGCTACAGTATGACAGGACAAACAAAGCTATGGTAACACATGATGGGACAAGACACAAAAGCTTTCATAAGAAACTACACAGTGCATTAGTATTTAAATAGATACTAACTACTGAAATATACAGTGAGTGTGTGACGTTAAAGAGGAGTGGCACTGACCTGGATCCGACAGGTTCTGGGCAGATTGACTGAAGTCTGTGAGAGCTGACGCCTGGTTCGCTGTGCTCAGTGGGCTGCAGTGTTGAAAGGATGCTCTTTGCCCTTTTCCATCTACCACTGGAACTCCACCCTTCCCCGGTGGGGAAGAGGAGGATGGAAGAGGTGGCAGAGAGGCAGATGCCACCTGAACACCTGCTTGCATCTTTGATGATTTCTTCCTGAGTTTAGGAGTGTGTGGCTTGGACGTAACCTGCTTCCCACCATTATCAAGAACTGGGCTAATATCTGGAGACTGAGAGCAGCTAATATTGTTGTTGGGAGAGGAAATCGGCTCTGATTCACTAGAACAACCTACGCTCTTTCTCCACTTATTTCCGTCTCTGTTGTGTTGCGGTCCAGGTGTCGCTGAGTGTGGGCTGCACTGAAAAGACATGGGGTCAAAGTCCAGACTAGAGATGCCTGCAGCCGGTGGACAAAGATTGAGGTCATCCTCCTGGTTTGGAGGTGAAACACATGCTGTGGTATGAACACGGTCAGCACCATTATGACTCTCTTCTATTGGAGGGGCTCTGTGTTCGCCTTTACTTCTGCTGTTGCGTAGATCATCTCTACTGACGGCAGAAATGGCCTCACTAATCGAATGAGGCCGGAGGGGACGGTAACTTGGAGGTTCTCCTGGGATGGAAAAAAACCACAGGTATATTTAGACTCGGTCTTGAGTAGTCACAAATATATAGTGTAGATAATAAAGACTGCTGAGGGCCAATCACGGTGTTCAGTTTTAATGAAGAACTACCTTTGACATTGTGCAAAGATGTGAGAGATTCTTCACTTTTGGTAGAGCGCAATGTGCCGGTGTCTCCTCTTCCACCTGCAAATATCTGAGTATTATTTATCTCAGTAACACGAATCATCATGCTCTAAAAACATTTCAACACATCTAACTGTCAAGAATAATTAACAGCAACTGTCAAATTCAAATTCATTAAAAGCTACAGAAAATGAAGCTTTGAAAAGTACAGATACAGTGCAAGAGCTGTGTGTCTTCTGGCTGTGTACCAGTAGCAGTGATCTGACCTGGCAGTGCAATACACTTTATTTCGTTAGGCTCACTGGGGTGTCGCTTCAGTTTACGTTTAGACACAGAGTGGGACTTGCCCATGTGGAAAAAGGACAGCCAGTTCCCCACAGGCGACTTCTTAGCCTTGGCAGGAGGCCGCTTAATACTATAACACAGAAGCAAAAATACATAGAAATGACAAAAAGCTAAACAATAGGCCTGCACCTAATACATGTTTTTCATTATATTTTAATCTGACACCTAATATTTTAATCTGACTGTTTAGTCTAAAAAATGTCAGGTTTAAAGAAATTCTCATTTCAGTTTATCAGATTCCATTGTAACATATTGATTTTGTCTGGCCTACAGTCCAAAACACCAAGCTACTCAAGTGCTAATTAAATAAGACAGAGAAAAGCAACAAATCTTCAAATATGGCACATCAAAACAGCTGTACTGTAACCAGCAGTATGGTATTGGGTATTATACATGTATGTTTGCTTCACAATGATGCAAATGATTAATAAACTATCATATCTGCTTTCTTTACAGTTGATCTACTAATTGTTTAATCAAGTTATTATGTCATCATTGAAAAATATCACTTAATCACATACACCACAAAGCATTATGTCTGAACAACCCCAATGACAAACAATGGCATGTAGTGTGGAGTGACGATCAAGGAGCAGAAGGTTTCATATAGAACAAACATGGATGACTTCACTAGTGGTCCGTAAATCTACCTCTCCATCGGGAGCTCGATGACTGTGTGGAACTTGCCGAGCAGAGCTCCGGGTCCCTCCCCGACCTCGATGTAGTCACTATGGGTGAGGCATGGGGTGGTGGCCGGGGAGCTCACTTGTGCCTGAGTGCGAGCCTGAGCCTCCTCCAGGGACAGTAGCTTTGTGGACGGGGAGCAGACCAGCAGGGACTTGGGTCTGGATAAGGTGTTGTTACCTGTCATTGAGGTGTTCAGGGAGGTGTGTTAGAGGTGCATATATTCTGTCATTTTGTTTCTATTTTCTGTTTGTTCGTTTTTTTTAGTTAAAACAGGATGACCTACCAGTGCATTCCCTTATGATGGCGTTGAGTTTTGGACTGAAGAGCGCCTCTGTGTTATTGAGCATGAACTCCACCACCACTGACTGGATGCGCACCTCCATGAACGCAGCTGTGCCGCTAAAACAGGCAGACTCAATCTGTCTGGACCTGAAAGACAGTTACAGTACATCACAGTCTATTTCCAAGCTCGGGACCACTGAGACACATCCCAGTTCAGAGAAAGGCTAGAACAACACAGCTTTAGCTATGCATACAGCCAGACACTGGTGTAGACAGTGATAATCACCTGAGGAGGTTAGGTGCCCAGACAATAGCAAGGTTTTTAGTGTGCATGCTAGTGATGGAACTGAACGTGGCCAGGTGGGAGAGATGTCTCATCAGGAACTCCAGGGTCCTGCAGAAATAAATTATAAATGCAAATATTAACCATAAATTTTACCTGTTAATTCCAAAATTGTTGTTTTTTAGGCCATAAAAAAATCCTGGGTCATGGGAGAGGGTCATACACTGTGTTTTTGTGATGTTCCCTATTGGCCCCAGACTGAGTACTAACTGGTGTTACATTTAGTATTTTTATGTTTCATGCCACCAGGGTGCAGCAATGAGCTCCACAGCTGACCTGTAATGTGGAGGAGGCAGCTGCTGGATGACATTGTGGATTTTGACCAGCCTCTCCTCATCTGTGGCTGCAGACACGGCCTCCTGTGAAGACAGAGGATAAGGTGCACATCACTGCGGGGCTGATAATCACAGCAGAGGGAGGGGCCTTAATATTTCCACTGGCTTCTTCCCTTTTATATTCAGAGAAGCCTGTGGTGTTGGCTCTCTTATTCTGCTATTTGGTTCTAGTGTGCACATCTCCCACTATTCCTAGAAAGATCGGCATAATGCAGTGCCCCAATTAGAGTGGCATTTAAAAATGAGCAAAACATTGTTTTTACTGTTTCTTCTGTTGTTGTATGTGCCCTGCAGCTTTTTCTCCTCACAATGCCTGACCCCGATGCTATGCCAGTCCCCATAATCTGTGCCCTAGTTCCACTGCTCTGGTCCTTACTGAGAATCTGTCGTAGAGCTGATAAGTGAGCAGAGGGTTGGGCAGCTCTCTGAAGTACAGCTTACAGAGGGAGCCCACTGAGTGGATGTCCTGTCTGAAGATGTCTCTGCTCAGGTCTGGGATCTGCTCTGAGTCAAACTCATGCCTAGACAGAGTGAGAAAGAAGGAGAATTAAATATAGAACAGCGTGGGAATCATCCTACTGCCCATCTGTCAGTATGAAGGCAGCGAAACAAGGAGAGCTGACTTAGAAAACTAGAAGCTGCTGACTGTCTTTTTAACTGGTGAATTGATGATTTACTTTATAATTACAATATCTTCTGAAATTATGTGTCTGATTTTGATAATCCTCCAAAATTTGTATATCTTAATGTACAGCTAAACTGAGTTTGATTTCCATATTTTGCCATCTAATAATATGGAGCAGGTAAAAAAAAAAGGCCACTCGGCACTCCAAACCAGTAAAAACCAGATGTTTATATTCCTAAATGAGTAAGAGGTAATGTCATGATGGTTGGCAAGTTTTTCATGTGAGTAAAGTCATTTTAATTGGCTGTCAACAACATATCTGATTATGTGCCTTATCTCCTGATGAGAGTTTGTTTCATGAATTCCTCTTGGCAAGCATAAAACAGATGAAAGGATCAGTACAACCACTCAAAGCTGCACACAGCCTGAAATACATTTTATTTGATGGATTCCAGAAAAGGCAGTTTAAATACTGCGCTTGGAGAATGACATTCATCATGTGGAGAGTGGACTGTGCAGTCAGTTTCTATATGTTTCTGATAGCTTCCTAATGCCAAGTGCTCACTAGTGTATAATGTTAAGTCTTTAGAGCCAAATACAGTACAAGTTCCCAATCTGTCCAGAGTGAGTCATCAACCAAGTACCGTGCCACGCAAACACACACCTGTAGGCACTTTTAAAACACCTTCCTATAAATTATCTTTCTTTTTTGGTAAAATTTCTAATTAACATAATGAACAAAATGGTTACAAGCCTCAGTTTCTGGATGTTGGAGGAGATGCCAGAGAGTCGGTAGATTCCATCCACCACCCCATGCTTTTCTATGAACTCAGCGCAGCTCTTAACAACCTGTGGGACTACAGGACACAACACAGTCATGAGGGGTGGTCACAGTTAGGAGGATCTAGCCAGTGAAGACCCTCATCATGCTTCTAGACCATGATGATATGATAATCTCAACTGTTTTAATTCTACACAAATTAGATTTAAGACATGCTCTAAATATCGGTTTAACCAAGGACACCCAAAAGAAATTGTAAGGTAAATCTCATTACTAGCATAAAACTAAAGGCTCTATTTCTACAAAACCAAAAAAAAAGAAAATGTAATTTCCATTCAGCTGTATCTCTCAGGACACTAGAGGATAGAAATCTTCTTTTATTTAGATACAGTATCTTTATCAATTGCTAGATTTAAGTTGTCCAACTTAAACATACAATATCAAGTAAAATGAAATATTGGGATCACCCAATAAAACACATTATTTGAAATGTTTGAATATATACTCCACAGAAACTGCTCATTTATAGAATGATACAGCTACATCCCTTTTAACGCATGTTTGAAAACTTAATTAAAGGAACAGCTTTTGGCAAATCTACAATGATCTATACAGAATCACACCCTCCTGGCAAACATAAAACAGCTATTCACACCACGGACTCATTTCACATCAAGCATCCCAGCAGTGTACCATAAATCCACTTTACAAGCAGCAGATTCACCGGGTATTCCTTCCTTGGGAGATTTAAATTTTGAAAATGTGAAATATGTTAGTGTGAACAGCCAGCAGGTGAGAACTACACAATGGAAAATCATAAGAAAATTCAGGGAAGAAGCCACTAATTTACCCTCATGTCCAGAGTTGTGGAGATGTTCACCCAGGTCACAGCCAAACACTCGCTCTCTGAGGATACCACGCTGCCGCAGCTTCTGCGGCGGCGGGCGGGACTTCATGAAAGACCTCAGGAACGTCACCAGCTTCCCATGCTTCTTACACACTTGTTAGGATGGCGCACACGGACACACATAACAGCTGCTATAAATCAACCCAACTCGTATCCAGGGAGCAAGTCTTAAATAAATCGTCAACAGCAGGACAGACACACTTTGAAAAATACCTGGCTTTGGCACAGAGCTTTGAACGCCGGGGAGAATCTTTTCATTTATCAGCTCAACACAGTCACAGGGGAAGAAACCAACCTGCACGTACAGAAAAGAGAGGATGAATAGTGGAAAGAGAAGAGACAGAGATGGTGATACACTTGTAACAGGACCAGTGGGGGTGTTTAGCGCGGTTGTATGGTGATGGCGCACAAATAGGTCAGTAAGCATGAAGGTACAAACCACCTCAGACTATTAAATGCTGGTTTACTTTGTTGTTGTGTTGAGCATTCCTAGGTATCACAGTGACAGACTAGCTGCTTTTTGCTAACAGTATTTAAAAATATACAATTTCAACAGGAGCAAATAGGCAGCCAAGCAGTCACTATGCATTTATCTCTCAGTATAAATTACCTGGACTCCAAAATGCTATTTGAATGACAACTGTCCCATTTACTCACTAGTTTATCATCACTGGCAGAGGAGACAGGTTGTGCATTTGTTATTACACAGTATATACAGTTTAAAGCAGCTGTCTGACCTGAAAGCCATGTTTCCCTCTCCACCAGCCTGTGTCCTCTTTAGGAGGCATGTCTATCACTGACACGATGTCTCCCACCTGGATCATAAATTGCATGAGGATGAGATCACAGCTGAGCATATTGAAAAGGCATCATGTTGGGATCAAAAGCATGTATTTGCAAATCATCCAGTGAAAACATATTCAACTTAAATATTAGAAAGCGGGAAACTGGTAAAATCATTGCTTCACAAAGAAACTATATATCTCAAAGATTACCTCAAATGTCAACTCGTCTGTGGCCTGGGCAGTGTAACGCTTGGTGACGTGGGCGGCAGCGATGGCAGGGACATTGATCGAGGCTTCTTCAGACACCAGCAGATGGTTCCCCTTGTTGTCCATCTACAAATAAAAAGTAAACAACAGTATGTCTTCTTCACCTGTTAGACTTTGCCCAAATAGTGGAAGAGATGAAGACATAATGATGATGAACTGCATGTCCCCATAAACTCTGGTGCCACTGATGCATGCTTTATTTAGTCCTTCCTCGTTAAAATCGACAAGCAAATAGTCCTGCTGCTGCTGAATTATTCCAAATCAGCAATATGACACTTTCTAGCAGAATTTCTTGTCTAGTTGATTAGATCTAGTAGAAATGACCAAATCAAGATTAGGTCATTTCTTTCAACTGCAGATCTAGAAAAGGTTGTTCATCTTCTCCAGACCTGACTGTTGCTACGCACTTTATTCTGGTGCTAGCCAGCAAAACAACCTACTAGACTAAAAGTCATATAGTATGCTGATAGCTTCCTAATGCCAAGTGCTCGCTAGTGTGTAATGTTCAGTCTTTAGAGCCAAATACGGTACAAACTCCCAACCTGTGCTGCTGCTGCTAAGCTTTTTTAATACTGTACGTCCACAAAGTGACCACATCGCACCAAACCCTGCTGCCCTTCAGTGTTAGCTGTGAGCTTTAGAATTAATTTAATCTACACACTGCCACTGTCAGGTCCACTCGGCGCGACCTGCCTCTCCTCCGCCTTTCTCTCCTCTGTTCTCTCAACCTGTGGGATCTGCACCTCAGCTGTGTTGCATTCCGTAATTAGCGACTCGTTTGTCGGTGCGCACAGCTGGGGTGCATCCCGATGATTACGTTTCCTCCTTATTTATACCTCTGGCAGGCACTCCGTCATCGCCGGAGCATTACCTAAATTATATTATACCTATTTTCATGGTATTATGTTTGTACATCATTTTGATTTTCTGGCTGACAGTTCCTGTGCTGTGGATCTCTTTGTTTGTTTCTTCCATGAGGTTAGCCGAACGTTATTTTTATATCCAAGCTGACAGTTCCTGTGCTGTGGACATCCTTTTCGTTCACCAGTCCTCCTGGTTGGTCTGTCTATTCACCTGTCCGTCCTCATCCTCCTGCTCTCCTGATTCCTACCGTCAGTTTATCAGTTTACCTGTTCGTCCTGGTCTCCTCCACCATCTCTGCCCTACTTTGCTTATATATGTACATGGCCCTTGTTATGTTGTTACTTTGTGTATTTGTTCCATGAAGCCTCCTTTTTCTACTAGCACCTGGGTCGGCAATCTTGAGTCCTACCTCAGTTCTCCCTCATCCTCCTGGTGAGGGGGGCTAACCATAACAGGCACGTTATTTTGAAAGATGCTCTATGATTACATTTATTATTAAAAGTGATTTTACTGTTTTCTCCCGACAAATGTTTTTTTATTAATTTGCTCCACCTCCTGGTAGTGTGGCCTGTAGTACACCTTGACTATTTCATCATACTGTAATTACATCAATCATATATTTATTACAGTCTGTGTTTTCAAAAAAATCTGTTTACAGCAAAGGAGAGACACGAGTGGTTTAAGCCTACTCCCACATAAATTTAAAATAGAACATAAAACCTCCCATGTGAAACCTTGTACAGTTCAAACTGTTGGCAAAGTAAACTTCACGCAGCAGCTGTAGTGTTACCACACTTGCTCACTGCATTAGCTAGACACCTGCACAGTGAGGGGAAAAATGGCGACCATAGTTTATGCAATTCTCCTTAGATGTCTTTACAAAAAAGTAAATAAAAATAAACTTAGATAGTGAATAATGAATATTAAACCTACAATATGTGACTTTTATTTAACTCTTCTGAGCAAGCCTCATCTTTATAACCAATCACAGGAGACTAAGGTCTCGGGAAGGAGCTCATGGCTGACAGTCAATTTGTGAAGTCGCTTCTGGTCTACTACTCCTCTTGTACCGAGGCTTTAAGCAATTAGAAGATGTTACTATAACTGACTCAGGCTAGCAGGCTCTTGATTCTTGCATCAGCTGAGACGATGAACATGATGAGGATGTAAAGCAGGTGAAGGACTGGGCAGCGTGTAATAAAGCAGGGAAAGGAAATGGTATGAGGAGTGAAGTGGTTTGTTTTGAGTCTCATGCTAATGCTAGTTTGATGTGTAGAACTTGCTTTTTATTTAACAACTGATAAAAAGAACAGCTACCTCCAGCCATGTTAGTACTGGACCACAGTTGATCTTGTTGTCAGCAATGGCTGAGAAGCGGGACAGGTAGGTAGCCAACATCTTGGTTACTGACTGAAGAGAAACACAATATTGGCATGATTTAGAAAAGTCCAATGAACTGTCATTTCCCACACAACATCAAATCAAACAAGAGCACTCAGAGAGTGCATATACCTCCACCAAGGCACAAGATTCGCTCACACAAATGGGTCCTCTGTGAAAAATGAGATCCAGTGCAACACAAAATGTGTCTTAAAATCTTTGATCTGGATCAGATCCAGATCATCTTTTATGGTATGGAACAGTTACGTGAACATTTCAGGGTTCTGTCTTCATTACAGGCCAAGTTAAGGCAGAAAATATGTTTTAAAAGGGGTTTTAAATGTTAAATTTAAACGGTGGTCAGATCTGACATCTTGATCCTTTTGATAGAGATATGATTTTTTTTTTTTTCAATTTTTGCTTCATGTTAAAGATAGGGGTTTTTGTTCCAAAACTTTGTGACCTTGACCTTTGACCTTTTGCAGCCAAACTCTAATCATTTCTAAGGTCCACCCCAACCAATGTCTGTACCAAATATGCTGATGATGCATCCGGCTGCTTGTCTGTAATCCTGCTAATCAACAAACACACACACACACACACACACACACAGAACCAAAAACATAACTTCCTTGGTGGAGGTACACAAGCTAATCCGATTACCACATAAAGCTCTAGTTTATCTATTATTTGTCACATAAAGTAAATCAAGAATTAGACATCACAGATAAAGCAACTGTAGCTCTATGGTACCTCAACAGTATCCTTTAACGTGTCGTATCGTGGCAGCTCAGTGAGTTGGGAATAACGACGGTCATAGATACACAAATGCAGGTGTTTGTCCAGAACCCGGAAGTCTTCATAGGACCTCTTCACCAGCCAGTTTCGACCCTGACAAAGAAAAGATGAGAAACTACTACATGGAGCAGATGAAGAAAAACATGACTAAGAAATCTGTGATGTCATGCTACCTAATCTGTTTCCCAAATATAACAAGTAATGGTACCTGGCAAGTGATCTGGACCAGAAAGACCAGCTGTTTGGAGTCCAGACCAGCCTTTGGTGTGTCACTCTGCCCTTCTGCGAAGGCCAACTATGAGAGATGAAGGACCCAAAAAAAAAAGAGAGACAAAGGAGCTGATACTGAGCAGTCCAATATTCTAAATAATCCATCCATCCATTATCTGTACCGCTTATTCCTGAATAGGGTAGCTGGGGGGGTTGGAGCCAATCCCAGCTGACATTTGGTGAGAGGCGGGGGCCATCCTGGACAGGCCGCCAGTCTATCACAGGGCTGACATGTAGACACACAACTACACACAACCACACTCACTCCTACGGGCAATATAGTCATCAATCAACCTAAGCTGCATGTCTTTGGTCTGTGGGAGGAAGCCAGAGTACCCAGAGAGAACCCACACAGGCTCAGGGGGAACATGCAAACTCCACACTGAAAGGCCCTGGGTTGGGCTGGGCTCAAACCCAGAACCTTCTTGCTGTGGGGTGACCACACTAATCACCATTCCACTGTGCCGCCCAATATCCTAAATAATGAATGTGAATAATACAGAAACCTTTTTGTAGATGACCTGGGATATTTCTCTGCTGCCAACATTCTCACTTTACCATAAATCCTACAGTCTGAAATGTATAATGCATACATCAGCGCTATACAAATAAAATTTGATTTGATTTGATCAGCTTTTAAGATATAAAACTTGGACAGCATGTAGATATAATACAGATTTCGCACCAATATTCCATATGCTCTAAGACCATGAAGATCAAAGCCCTGAGGGATTTTTTGCGAATACGCAGAAAGACATTAGAAGAGAGAAGAGACTTCAAAGGCCTGGAAGCCAAGAGAAATTCTGGTTCTATATGCTGTAATTGTTTGTTGCTCATGCAGACACACTGTTACACAACACACAGCGACCTAGTTACTGCTTAGCAGCAAACCAGACTGACAACGAGCACACAATGCAAGGAATTGTTGTAAATAATAGTTTGGACCAGACAGCTAAACTGAATACTAAAGGGGATCAAGAGGCCAAAGGGCTGATGGGAACCTGGGTCATACAGAGAAGAATTCAATTTTGTATTTGACAAAAAAACCCAAACCTAATAAAAATGTTAATATTATAAAATGAAACGACAAAATTCCAGAAAGTTTTCAAAGAAGGCTTGAGTATCACTTGCACTGATGCTCATACCTCACAGGTTAGTTCTTCTAATCTAAAATATGCCACTACAGCTCACACCTCAACTCTTTGCACAGAAACATACCTGCATGATATTTATTTAAAAACATCTGTCCCCACAAGTGCAAGTTAATACATAACTGTCCACATGTTCATGTTACCTGCCACTAAGGCATCTCAGATATCCATCCGCAGCTGGAGGAAGTGGCTCTGTCTTTGTGTGCAGCTGCAGTCCTGGACCTTACTAGGCTCCTCCAACAAGCCAAATCTTGGCTGATGATAGCAGCGTTTAAATGCAGCTCCTTACTCTCCTGTTTGTCGTCCCCTGCCGCCTTACGTAAAACGCTCATTCAAGGGGCTCACTCAAAGGGCTTTGGATCAGCATGCAATCCCTGCTCTATTCAAAGTAGAAAATATGAAAATAGGATGCTTCCCTCTAGGTGTTTACCCCCTTCCTGCCTCCCTCTTCCCCCTCCTCCCTCTCCTGCACTCTGCCTCCCTCCCCCCTCTCTCTTAACCACTACTCCTTTCTCTAGTGACAAAGGGGGTTTGGCAGTAAACGGGCTCAGCTGGCACACACAGATGCGCAAGCTCATCCGTCACACAGAGGCAGAGCTGCACACGGTAGATAGACAGCCCATATTCATTTCAAAACAATTCTCTTTCACTCCACTCTGAAGGCTACACTGGAGCTAATCTGGAGAGGAATCAGTCAGGGATACCACAGTCAGAAGCAGTCTGCTGTCCTTGTGCTATTCTGAGATTAGCGTACACGAGACCAGAACAGTACCCTCCCTCTCGGCCGCCACAGTCTGTGAATGCAGACACAGGCAAATGCATCATGGGTGATCCCATAAGAGAAGACATTTCCCAGGGTGCAGAGGTAAATCAAAAATAAGAGACAGAAGTTAAAATAAACTTCAGCAGTATGTGCCTGCTTTATGTTTGTAGAGTATGTGCAGACAGCGTCAGTGTCTCCACACACTGAGTTCTCCTTAGTATTTCTTCTCCCTGTGGAGAAGAAATTCAAGGTCACTGAAACTGTTGTTCTGCTTCACTTCCCTCCACTATACCGATGTATCCTTCACAACCACGGTGACCACAGCAGGACACTTACCCAACACAGGGAGAGCACCTTGTGGTTTCAGTCCCAGCCAGCCTGCTACCCTTGCTCACCTCATTCAGCTTGCATGCACTGCTCATGCACTGTTTGTGTTAAGGTACACGTGCAGCTTCTGGTTGTGAAGGGATGACTGCTGCACTCTGCTGGCAGGCAAGCTGAGCTGCACTGAGGTTAACCAGGGGGTTTAACCAGCCACTTCCACACATGGCTGAGGGACCACCTCACTTCCTCTCATTATCACCGGTGTAGAGATGCTCTGTTTTAAACTTAAACATGCCCGTGACTAAGTCATCGTCATCATCATCACCTTTATTTATTCAGGGAATTAGCATTTGAGAGGAAGCTCTCAAACATAAACGCATGAATCAAATAAAATCTGTATCAAAAATCCAAAATCACAAAACACACATTAAAAATAATAAACATATGTACACAATATATAAATAATCAAAAAATCATATTAAACCTGTGCCCAAATTATGTTACGCGCACATTTAAACTGAATAATACTATATAAAAGCAGCTTAAATTTGAGATAAAGGAATGAACACAGCCAGTTTAGTTTTTTTTCTGCAAACTGTTCCATCTTTGTGGAACATAGTAACAGAAGGACATCATTCCTACAACCATAAATCTGAAAAAGTAGGGACAGTATGTAAAATCAAAATTTAAACTGAAAATAGTGATGTGTAAATCATCTGTGTCCTGTATCACATTGAAAACATCACAGCAGAACATTATCTGATGTGATACTTCATCAATTTTATTCTATGTTCAAAATAAACACTCGCTTCAATTCTGATACTGTAACACATTCAGTAAAGTAAAGTGTTTACCACAGTGTGATGTTGTTGTTCCTTTTCACAACACTTAAAAGACGTTTAGGGACTGAGGACACCAGGTGATTCAGTCTGTCAGGTGTCATTTTGTCCCATTCTTCCTGTAAACAAGTCTTAAGGTGCAACAGTC